ACAATACTCCGAGACGCCCTTCTCGCGCGCCATGAGTCAATAGATGACCTCTCCACATGCACGACGCCAAGCGAAAACAGGATACCCTGGAATGACGACGTCTCAGAAGACGAAGTCCGTACATGCACCATTGGATGCAAGAGGACAGCACCAGGGGCAGATGGAGTTTCAGTAGAGCTCCTCGAAGCCTGCTGGAAGACAATGTCACAAACCATCACTGGGATGTCGTGTCGCACCCAGGCAACCGAGTTATGACGTGCATACAATAACACAATTTAGGTATTGTAATGGTTACAGTATTGTGATAGCAACAGTTGCCATTCAGAGTACTAGTTAGTTACTATGTTATGGCTGTAAACTACTACACCCTTGGTTAAAGTATTGAAGCTCGTGTACTTAAGGAAGCTCTAGGACTGGATGTGTACTGTAGCTTTTTGTCTTGTAAATTACTCATGTTTTAGAATCTAATTATTAATCTAAATATCTCGTCCTCATTATCAGCCTCTATCTTCGTCTTCGTCCTCGTCTTCGTCCTCGTCCGTGACAGACAATTGGCCGATGGGTGACGCAACTGTTTAGGGCCTGCATCCGCCTCGGCATACATCCAGCATGTTTCAAGTTGGCAGAAGTAGTCCTTTTACATAAGCCAAATCGAGACCCATCGACGGTCAAAGGCTGGAGACCGATCGCTCTCCTATCATGCCTGGGTAAGGGTCTAGAGAGGCTACTGGCAAAAAGAATGGCGCGTCTGGCAGTCACACACGAGGTAGTGGGTCATCAACAATTTGGTGCGCTCCCAAAGAGATCTGCAACAGATCTGGTCTCCTGCGTGGTACACGACATTGAAGAAGCTAGGTCGCAAGGATGGGCGGCTACTTTCATTACCTCGGATGTACAGGGAGCGTTCGATGCGGTGCTTCACAATCGGTTAATCAGAAGAATGCAGTTCACAAGGATGGCCGGACTCAATTTTGCGGTGGACAACCTCTTTTCTTGCTAATCGATGAGTTCAAGTAAGGTATACGGGTGGGGTCACAACAGAAAGAGAATTGGTCTGCGGGGTCCCACAGGGGTCACCGATATCTCCACTTCTATTCCTTCTGTACATAACAGAACCCATGTGGGATGGGAATCCAGGACGAAGGTTTAGCTACGCCGATGACGTTGGTGTTCTTGCTTTCGGCCGCACAATAGTAGATTCTGCCTCGGCCGCCCAAGAAGAGGTAAATCAACTGATCAGATGGGCGAAAAATAACGCAATAGCCTTCGACACAGATAAGTCCGAAGTAATCCAATTCCCTGGGCGCCATCGGGAGATAGGAATAGGCATACACGTCAATAGTACCTTTATTGAACCATCGGAAAATGTTCGCTGGCTAGAAGTTTACCTGGACCCTCGGCTCAATTTTAAACATCATGTGACAAAATGGTGCGGCAAAGCTGCCAAAGTGTCACGGTTTCAGTACAACATGCTTGGGCGATTTTGTAGGTACAGTATATTAATTATAATTCTCTAGAGAGAGAATTCCTAGAGCTAGACTACAAATATATATACACTCCGAGATACTCCTCTGCTATAAGGTTCCCCTAAGACTAGAATAATATGGAATCTTCGAAGATTCCCTAGAAGACTCTCGATATGTCTGTCATCTTCGTGAACCTTCAGTATACTTCCAGAAGGTTCATTAAGAATCTTCTAACCTCCGTGTATCCCGATATCCTTCCCAAAGATCCCTCAAGATTCCCTTGATGTCATTGCCTGCGCTAGCCAGCGTAGGCTACAGGAATTCTTAGGCTTAGCAGCCATTACACAAAGCTGCTCATCATGTGCGTCGTTTTAATTCTACTTACCGAGGTGCTGCCCCAGATGCACTGATAAGAGCGGTTGACCTATGTATCATCCCTGTCGCTACTTACGGCTCCGAGGTGTGGTGACCAGGCCTGAAGCGCCCAACTCAACGCGGAGTCAGCACTTCACAAACGACTGGCCTCTGCAGCATAATTGACAAAGTCATCAACACAGGATTACGGGCGGCACTTCCAGTAATGAGGACTACGCCCACAGTAGTGCTACAGCGAGAAGGAGGGATCCCGCCGGCAAGAATCATTCTCGAGGGGAATCGACTTTGCCTATCAGCAAGGCTCAAATCCCTTGACTCTGGACATCCTCTGAGAAGATGAGCTGCTGTCTGCCCTAATATTGGGACAAGAAAGTACAAGAAAGTACAAGAAACATGATCGTCAATCAGCACGACCAGAGATTCAAATGTCTCGAATCCAGCGTGCTTATCAACAACTCCCAGAAGCTGAATCCGCCGAGCCTTTACCGGCTTTGGCCTATCTCATTAAGGTAAGCGCGAAAGAGAAAGACACGGAAATTTGTAAACGCTGGATAGAGAGTCTACCAAGCTCGGTGATCTGCGCCTACTCTGATGGGGCATCAGAAGGACACGATCGCTTGGCGTGGGCTTTTGTCTTGAAAAGAGACGGAAAGACCATAGATAGAGATTCCGGTACCATACATGGGGGGAGGTACTGGACGCTGAGATAGTCGGAGTAAGGAAGGCTCTAGAGTCAGCATTGCGAATAAGTGGGCTGGAATCTCGGATCCCAGGAAAAGTGGCGCAACCTATCTACGTGCTGACCGACAGTCAGCATGCAAGAACCGCTATGCTATCCGGAGACACATCGACAAGCATTAAAGAAGCCCGAATATTTCGGACAATGACACAGGCTGCTCCCGAAAGAATCATCGTTAAATGGGTTCCAGGACACAAGGGCATTCAAGGGAACGAAGAAGCAGATGCTGCAGCTCGGAGCAAACTCCGCAGTCTCCCCCTCCGAGATGAGGAGCCGCAAAACATCGGCAGTGCATACCTCTACCGGCTTATGAATCAGAAGAGACAGATGCTGCTAGACCAATTCTGGGACGAATCATGCCCACCCAGATACCGGGAACTAGACTTGATGATGCGCCGGAAAAAGCCACCGGAAAAAGCCACCGGAACTATCACTTCCACGACGACTTCTATTTGAAGTCATCGCGGCTCGTACCGGTCACAGAAATTTCACCGCGTACCACAGACGTTTCAACAACCCAAACGCGAACATGAAGTGTTCGTGCGGAGAGGAGACTACAGCAACGCATTTCATGCATTGTAGACTTTACACTCGTCATACCCGACGACTAAGGGGAACTACCCCATACCAACAATTTCTTAAAATTCTTCTAGGGCCCAAATGCTTCAAAGAATTTTCAACGTTTGCGCAGGAAACTGGCTGCTTCAAAAGCCAACCTGCGACCTTGTCCACAGCTCTCAGCATGGACGAAGAATAATATTTATGGTGGAAACCGTGAAAGGGAAGGAGTCAGGGTGAGGAGCGCTGTTACTGGACCGTTAAATTGGAATTTCCTTTGTTTATTAATTTTGACTGTTAGAATTTGTTTTGTTTTAAACCGGCTACAATTTAGGTAGTGGTTTCACACGGTTGGAATGAGTTGGGCTGTGGTAAAGAACACAGGGATCCCTTCCGGCTCCACCGGTCTTGTACCCATAGCGGACCGGGAGCAGTAGCTTAGGACCTTAGAATTACAAAAAAAAAAAAAACACTAACTGGCTTGCGCCCTCAAGACAAGGATGAGCAAAGCAGCCTTAAACAGCCCAGCTATAGCCATCTGGGGGGTTGGATAGTGCAGTGGTACACCATCCAGACCGTTCTCCCAAGTAGATACTGGGTAGCTTGAACACCAACTCCATTCGAGACAGGAGAAAGCTGGTTCGAATCCAGTAAAACCCACACACCACTCTCTCTCGCGGTGATATTGTACTTGTGGGATGATGAAAGCACACTCTGATAGCCATAGGGTTTTCACGCTTTTCCCTGTGGTGGGTACACACGGAAGAGGTTACACGCCGTAAGGGTTAACATCGAGTGGTATCTGCAAATGAAATCTGAGGGTGAGTGTTCTAAATGTCAAACTGAGTCATCCTACTTAAAGCAAATATCTTCCGATAAAAACCCGCATGGGCCCCAAAGCGCCAAACCAGGAAAAATGAATCATATATATAACCATGAGGACCTATCCAGTAACAATACCAATTGTACTTAGTGGTTGAGAGGTGATATATATAAGGACAAACAATAGTTTTGATCATCAATGTCCATAGAGCCGAAATTGGGACATAACTAACCATAGGAATTTTTCATCTGTATATGTCAACTCTAACCAGTTCCTTATTCAATCCAACGATGGGTTGGGCTATATTTCTGCACCACTCTCTGTTAAAACGTTTTCAATTACACATCATATCTAATCAATGATCGATCTGAGTGTACGTAGGTCTGATTTACCTGAATGGATGGCATTTTTTAGCGCTTCAGGAGGGCAGTTTTTTTTTCTAATTTAATCTCAATTTCGGCATCAGAGGTTTATAGAGTACATTGGAGACTATTTTCACCTTGGCTGCTGCACGCCCACTATCAGACTTTAGTTGGTTACCTAAAGGGATCTATTTGCAGAGCAACAAAAATTTTACGGCATGCGATAGACTTAAAACATTTCATGGTGTTAATAAGGAACTTTATAGAAGGCGTTGGAGACGATGTAATATCCATGCACTAGTTACCCTGGCCTGCAGGCAAAGAGGGTCTAGACATTCTCTAAAGCCTTGGTCTTAGGAAGGACAACAAATTATCAAATAATCCAATTGTAATCGAAGCACGGCTGAATTATGAATATCAACACCCTGAAGGACTTTGCGACCAGCATCAAAGAAGTCATAGCCACAGACCTGTGCGAAATTGAATTTCAATCGGCGTGATGAGTAATATATTACCCCCTGCTTCAAATAAGCAGGCGCTGATTGGCCGAGGCTACTCTAATGGCTATTTAGATAATATCGACGACATCATGACATTGGATTGCGCTCACAGGCTACAAGAATCACTGCTTATTCTCTCACATCATCATCAGTCCAATTAGTTCTGCTGCCTTCACAATGCTTACCTCTAATACTCTGAGAAGAAATCTCGTATGTAATCTACCAAATCTTAACATGCCAACTGCTCGTCTACAATCAGCGGGCAATTAGAAATGCGCTGACCAGGTGTAGGTCTCAAAAGCACTAAAGCCCCAACTAAGACCTTTCACATCTACGAGATGTGTTGGTAAGCTAAAGCACACCAAATCGATATTGATTTCCATATTGAAATTTCATCAGCACGAATAATATCCAATGCGCCGCTCCGAGCCAAAGAATCATCTAACTTTGTGAGGTCTAAATATCCTGTAGTTGTAAGTTAATTTTTAGTTTGCACTATGCCTCATCTAACTGAAATAGGATCATGAGTATGATGCGATTGTTGTAGGAGCTGGTGGGGCCGGCCTCCGTGCTGCCTTTGGGCTGGCAGAAGCTGGCTTCAGTACAGCCTGTGTATCGAAACTCTTTCCGACCAGGAGTCACACCGTCGCAGCTCAAGGTGGAATAAATGCGGCTCTAGGAAACATGCACGAAGATGATTGGAGGTGGCATATGTATGACACGGTGAAGGGATCTGATTGGCTTGGAGATCAGGACGCAATTCACTACATGACTAGAGAGGCACCAAAGTCCGTTATTGAGCTCGAAAATTACGGCTGTCCATTCTCTAGAACGGATGACGGAAAAATGTAAGCAGGCTATCATAGGGATTGCTTCCATCTCTGACACTAATAGCTACCAACGAGCATTTGGAGGTCAATCGCAAAAATTTGGTAAAGGCGGGCAAGCATACCGGTGCTGTGCTGCAGCTGATAGAACAGGACATGCTCTTCTTCACACCCTCTACGGTCAGTCACTACGACATAACACAAACTTCTTCATCGAATACTTTGCCTTAGACTTAATCATGGAGGATGGCAAGTGCAAAGGTGTTATGGCGTACAACCAAGAGGACGGAACAATTCATCGGTTCCGAGCTCACAACACTGTATTAGCTACTGGAGGTTATGGACGAGCTTATTTCAGCTGCACATCTGCGCACACTTGTACAGGTGACGGAATGGCTATGGTTGCCCGTGCTGGCCTCCCTAACCAAGACCTTGAATTTGTTCAATTTCATCCAACTGGAATTTATGGGGCTGGATGCTTGATCACCGAGGGTGCGCGTGGTGAGGGTGGATACCTTCTCAACTCTGAGGGCGAAAGATTTATGGAAAGATACGCCCCTACAGCTAAGGACCTAGCTAGCCGAGACGTTGTCTCTAGGTCTATGACTATGGAAATTAGAGAGGGTCGTGGTGTTGGCACGGAAAAAGATCACATTTACCTCCAACTCAGTCACTTACCAGCTGAGGTACTACACGAGCGCCTTCCAGGAATTTCCGAGACAGCATCAATATTTTCAGGGGTCGATGTTCGCAAGCAACCTATTCCTGTCCTCCCCACTGTACACTACAACATGGGTGGTATCCCAACTAAATACACCGGAGAAGTTCTCACTGTTGATAGCGAAGGTAATGATAAAGTTGTTCCTGGACTTTTTGCATGCGGAGAAGCAGCCTGCGTCTCTGTTCACGGTGCCAACCGTTTGGGGGCAAATTCTCTTCTTGATCTTATTGTATTTGGCCGAGCTGTCTCCCACACAGTTCGGGACAACTTCGAGCCTGGAATGCCTCACGAAGAAATTAGTGCTGATGCGGGTGCTGAATCAATCCAAGTCCTAGACCAGATTCGTACTGCGGACGGTCCTAAGAGCACGCACGATATTCGTCTCGCCATGCAGAAAGTCATGCAATCGGATGTAAGTGTATTTCGGACTCAGAGCTCACTAGATGAAGGCGTGAAAAGAATCAATGAAGTAGACCAAACATTCAAGGATATCGGTATCAAAGATCGAAGCATGATATGGAATTCAGACTTAGTCGAGACCCTAGAGTTAAGAAACCTATTAACCTGCGCGTAAGTACATCCACTCAAACTCATTTGCACTGACCATAACTGGTTTCTAGGGTTCAAACAGCAGAATCAGCTGCAGCTAGAAAAGAATCTCGTGGTGCTCACGCACGAGAAGACTATCCTGATCGGAACGATCAAGAATGGATGAAGCACAGTTTAACTTTTCAGAAGAATCCTCAGGGAAAGACCGACTTGACTTACCGAGCTGTCGTCGGTCATACTCTTGATGAAAATGAGTGTAAGGCTGTACCGCCTTTCAAGCGTGTCTACTAAACCCAGGGGTCTGCCCTAAAATTTAATTACCTTTAGGACCGACAGTAATCCTAGTGTAAAATTGATCAAAATCATTTTCCATAGCGTTTAGCTCTCTATGACGACTGGTCGTGGTTAATACGACTTTCAAGGTATTGATACTGAAAACTTTGACACAATGATCAGAAAAAAGTGCATGGCAAACGATACAGTAACTCAACTTGCCGCATATTTCTTCAAAAGTTGATTTGAAGGGTGCATCATTTTGAATTTTGCTGATAGAGTAAACATAAGTGTGAAGGAATATTGAATTAAGTGGAGATTCTGGAGTAAAGATAAATTGAAAGCTGCTATTTCGGGGTGTCTGAAATGTCTCATTTATGGAATTGATTGGTGGAATAATGATACTTATGCAAGTGTTAATGAAGGTTCACGTTTATTTTGCCCATATCGCTCTTGGATCACATGAACGAACCAACGGCGTAATTTTAATCTGGAAAATTACTGTGATGATAGAGATCCACATGCTAAGCTGAACTTTCCATGTGAGAAGACATGTTCCATGTAAATATCGGAAGTTTCTGTCATGCTAACAAACAATCGAGAAATGTTGCACGTCAAGATATTTTAGCTTTTTTTTGTTCAGAATGATAAGTAATCACGAGAAGAGGAAGTGGCATAAAGGCAGCTCTAATTTAGAGATCAAACAAGTAGATTGGCTACGAGGAGAGAGTATCTAGAGGCGGACAGGGACTATATGCCAATGTGCACGTACCACATGTACTCACGATATTAGACCTAGGGCCAGGTTGAGGCAAGTTCGTAACTATCCCCCTTCTTTCTTAGCATCGTGCTCGATGCTTCATATACTTAATCTATTATGATACATCCTAAACAAGAGAGTGAACACCATTTTTATCATTACTTCCCCCCGTTCGTCTTATTCCAATTTTCCACTAGGTTTATTCCTTCGCGTCCAAGAATCTTGATCAATTGCCTTCTTGTCATCTATCGTGTTGTTGTAGGCCTTCCTGGGTTACACACGGAATACTGTAGCACTTTATCACCATAAGGACGGTCAGCGAGGATTCCGTAAGTCGATTCGCGGGTAAATTGGACTTTTGGGCGACATCGACGCTGCGTATAATCCTCGTTTTCCGGTATGTAGTCGGTGGGTCGTGGGGAGTTCGGGTTTAAGGTGTGGAAGTCATCGATGATCTTATCGTCTGAGTGCGCAAAACCAATGAATGTTTTTAGCACCCATATTCTATGTCCTGTTTCTGCAAACTCCACTTGGTAGTGTGCTTGGCGTCCCCCTTTAGTAGTCCGACAAGCAAGGATCTTGTAAGGGGTTACGCTGTTTTTGATTGGGGACATAGCTTTTTCGCACCAAACGCGAGGTTGATCTCTAGTTACTCGGCCTTGAGCCACATCTGGAGCGTGATATCTTTCGAGATTTGATACATGGTATACTGGATGCGAGATATGGAAGCTTGGGGGTATATCTAGGCGGTAAGTGAGTGGACCATCAATTTCTTTCATACGGAAGGGGCCTATCCAGCGAGGTGACAACTTTCGTGATTTATTCCCTTCAACGGGTAGATAGCGCGTACCTAGCATTACTTGATCGCCGATAGAGAATTCCCTTTCGCTGTGCCTTTTATCATAGTATTTAGCCATGCTTAAGCGCGTTTTTTGAAGTTGTTCCTTGCATTTATCGAGAATATACTTTTGTTTTGCAGCCCAGATTTCACCATCATTATCTACATCTGCGTTGTTGCTGGGAGATTCGAGGTGCGATTGGCACCTTGGGTGATAGCCATAATTAGCAAGAAGGGAGTGATACCGGTTGAAGACGTTTTCGAGTCATTGTAAGCAAATTCGCATGTATCCAACCATTCTTCCCAGTCTTTTTGGGAGTCATTACTGTAGGCACGGAGCAATGCTTCAATTGTTGTATTGACACGCTCTGATTGACCATTTGCAGTGGAATGGTATGCCGTTGTTGGTTGTTGAATTACGCCTAGCTCTGCTATTATATTCTTCCAGAGCTTGTTTTGAAATCTGGTATCTCTGCCAGACACTACGGCGCCTGGGATTCCATGTAGTCGAATGCATTCGCGGCGAAATAGGTTTGCAGCTACCTTCGCATTGATGGACTGATTTCCCTTCAGTTTGACTGGAATGAAATGGGCCATCTTGGTGAGTGCGTCAATGATAACCAAAATAGCATTACTTCCTCGTTCGGTAGTAGGAAGTTCGGTGATTAAATCCATATGAAATCTCGTCCACCGCCCTTCTGGAACAGGGAGCGGAGAGAGTTTCCCGTAGGTTGCGTGGTGAGGATCCTTATACTCGTTACAATTACGACATCCGCGGACATATCTCTTGATATCGCTCTTCATACAGGGCCAGTACCAGTCGCGGGAACATTTTTCGTAAGTACGGGCTTGTCCTTGGTGACCTGCAAGAGGAGCGTCATGGCAGACTTTGAGGATGTGATTTCGTAGTGATCGAGGTGTCACGGCACAGCATTCTGCCCCGTCATGAGATATGGTCAATACAGGACTTGTTCCTCACTATCTATGAGAAAATATGGGGAATTAAAATGGTTGAATTTATCGAAATTTGTATGTCTCTTTCATTTAGAAGCTAGAAGTCCTCTATAGTCATAGACTCAGATAGGACTATAATAAAAATCTAATCTAATCTAATCTAATGAGATATGGTCACGTGTATGAAGAAGACTGATGGCTGATGCAGGACGCCCGAAAAGGAATAGACTCGGGGCTTTTTATACTTAGATTCTATTCTATTTATCTCCAGCCTAGTATTCGCTTCACAGATTGAATTATCGCTGTAGAAGCTGTAATTTCACTTGTGCCTATTCTACGCCGTGACAGGAGGTACATAGAATCGTTCCTCTGCGTAAATGAGAATATCATTGTTCCATTTGAGATCAGATTCTTCGTCCAGTGGGTTGATTTCTGCGGCGTAGTCATCCGTGGCTGTTGCAGTCACAAGGGCATTGTAGATGTCTGGAGGAGCCTGTGACATTGCTGCAAGGCTGTCATAGATCAACTATAGAAAGCAAGGAGCATTTGTATGGATGATGGTATTTTATAATTCTACTATAAACACCTAAGTCCCACTTACTAATCCAGGTTTATATACAGATTTATTACATTCTAAGTTCTTCCCTCCATGGTCAGCTCATTTCTAGATGATTCCAGTTGCTACTCTAATAGTATCAATTCTAGCAGCTTCTCCAAGGTTCAGTATCAGTCTAACTCACATACAGACTTTTCTAGTCCCTTCTTAGGAGATTCTAGTATCTTTTACGTGGCTTTTGCGCCTGCCCGTTCTCCGGTGGTTGTACGCCAGTACTTGCCAGTACTGGCGTACAGGAAATACTGGCTTTGTAGCCGTTACAAAGGCGAACAAACTCATGGACTTGGGGAACATCATCTTTGGTGAGTTTGTAGTCTTCCCGCTGGGATGGAAGACCTGCTAGATTATTTTTCCTCAGCATATGTTTTATTACATAGTCAAAACGGCCTATTTGTGACCAATAACCAGCCCGGCGGCGGTTTAGATTGGCAGTAGTGTTGGAGGTTTGGAGGTTTGCATGGTCAGAGTAAACAGTTATTTGATGTTTTGGTCCTTCGAGATAGTGGCGCCAGTGCTGTAGACTGTAGCAGATCGCCATAAGTTCCTGACCAGGTGTACCATATCTGCTTTCTTCTGGGGTAAGTTTCTTGCTGTAGAAACCAGTAGGGACCTTAACATTATGGACAACTTGTGATAATAATAATAATAATAATTATTATTCATTATCCTGATTTGGCGCCTTGAGGCCCATGCAGGTTTGTTCGGAAGATATGTACTTTAAGTAGGGCAACTCAATTTGACGTTTAGAACACTCATACTCAGATTTCATTTGCAGATACCACTTGAGGTTGACCCTTACGGCGTATGTGTTATAGTTACGAGATTAGATGGATAAGTATTGTGGGAGGATAGGATATATATAAAGAAGAATGTGGAATAAATATTCTGATGGTGGGAAAATGTATTTAGACTATTTGAGGATAATATGGATATCTAAAGATGAACGCATAATCTACCTAAGAAGTAAATGGACCTGATAATATACATGTACGATCTATTCTACATCCATGTCCATTGATTCTCTGATGTACTCATGTAATGTGCATCGACATTGTTTGATTCTTAAGCTCCTGATAATGAGCACTACTCACATTTGAGGCATGCATTAATATGAGCTTGCATAACTAAAGTCATGTTGTTTCATCACTGAGTCTTGTCTATGAAGCCCTTGCTTCCTTGCGCAGACCAGGATCACAACAGTATGACCTTTACCGTGCATACCCACCACAGGGAAAAGCGTGAAAACCCCTATGATTATCGGAGTGTGCTTTCATCATCCCACAAGTACAATATCACCGCGAGAGAGAGGCGTATGGGTCTCACTGGATACGAACCAGCTTTCCCCTGTCTCAAATGGGGTAGGTATTCAAGCTACCCAGTTTCTACTTGGGAGAACGGCACGAATGGTGTATCACTGCACCATCCGACCCGCTCGTGGACTAGAGTAGTATGGAGAAGTGTTGTAATGGAAGTTGTATAGAGAAGCTTAAGCTGTTAGACTTGTGTATAATATCACCTAGTGAAGTGGGTCGGGAGATTGAAGAGTCTGAAAACTATAGTGGAGAGTTGTTAATTAAACCCACTTAGTATCAGAGCGCTATTTAAACTAATTACTACATCTAAATGAAGGACACGATTCACTTGTTTATGCTAAATAATTGGGAGGCTAGTCAATGTATGAGTCGTCATGAATGTGGCTAGTAATAATAGAGCCTTATTACGTTCTGTATTAATGAGACTCTTCATTGCCAAGTGGTGCCAATTTCAACAAGAAGGGCATCTTGATTACCAATCGCTCTCTCGCCATCAACAAGTGCACATTAAACACCAAGTTTTTAGCCTACAACCTCTTGCGATGGGAATTGGAAATCTCTGATATAATCGACTCTACGCTCCCCTGGAAAATCTGGCCACGCATATCCCATATTTGCCAATCACCAGAGCTTCAAGTGCCAGTACTTGGCCAAAGACGCGCAAGCTAGACCTACGAGACCCAGCTAATCACACTTCTTATACCTAAGGCGCAAAGATGAACTGTCTTCTCGCCATCCTCTTCTTCACGGGACAGGACACGCCACAAAACCATCGTCTGGCTTTAGTGAGCAACTCTCTTGAACCCGTCAACGAAATATACACTCTGCACCACAATAAGGCCTTCCCAGAACCTCGGAAAGGTTACGACGTGTATAAGACGCATGTCGATGTCAAGGAACCCGGCACATATGTTACCGTCTATTGTTCAAGGAGTTGGCAGAGCGATGAAATTCGCTTAAGACTTTGGGACGCGCGAGATAAACTCTCAAACTATGGGAGAGGAGACCCCATCACGAGGACTGAAATAGAAGTTAATTGCCTGAGTCTCATTCGTTCAATGACCAGTAAACCGCAGATCTCCGCAGTTCATAGCAAAGATCTGATAGAAACCGGAAAATGTACTCAAAAAGCCTTGGGAAACCTAGCCCTTGAATGCATTTTTAAGTCTCAGGGTAGGTATCTATCTAACGGAAATAGATATAATAACTTTCGCCCTACCGTCGTCTTTGACACACCCATCAAAATGTCGAGTTTGACTGGAGGCGGTAAATTTATACAGATGGAAACTACAGAGGTGTCAAAACATGTACTTGCTTGGTGTAATGGTAATATTCATCTCTTTCGAGAGTCATCCGATCTGGAAGCATGGCTTCCAGAAACATCCATTATTTACTCGCCAAAAAATGGAGAAACGATTACCAATTTTTTGTTGAAAGCTAATCCGCAAATTAAAAAGGCATGGTTGCAATCGACTCCGAGTCTTGGTATCATCCGTAATACTGGATCCCAAAAGCTTCGTGAAGATATAGGATTACTTCCCATATTGGGGACTAAAATCAGGGGGCACAAATTAGAGGTGGATAAACTTGCTTCTAGAGACGCCACAGGCTTTCTGGCGGGCGAGATATGTAATTACGTCGGTGATGTCAATGATCAACCCCATGAAGTCTTATATAAGACTGAGAAAATGTTGGAAGTGTCATACTTGAGGGACGATTAACTTGATGCGACGGAATTTTCATGGTTGTGCCGTACAGATGATGAAAACTATTGACTCTCAACAAAACAAGGTGAAATCAATCAGATACAAGTTGAAATTGTGTAAAAATCATCTATATTCCGAAGAGAGAATTTTTAATGTTTGTTCGAAAAGACATTGACATAATACGGTTCAAGTTGTGACATCAATGTAGAATCCTCAAAGCCATAGAAGGCTCGTGGCCACCTGGTATTTTTATTTATTTATGTTAGAATTTAGAATAATTGGGGCTATCAAGTAGGCCACGTTGTTGCTACACACGTGACTACAAATTCTGTGACTAGTTTCACCTCAGTAGTTACTTGAGTCAATGCGCTCTACAACCTCAATGACTGAGGGGTCATTATTTCCTTAATATTTATCTATTTATAATACTTAACGTCGTGCCCGCGCACAGCACGTGAGCTCCTCACGTGCCGTTTAGCTCAGTCTAAAACTACCCGACGTGTTGGCGCCTGAACAAACCCAACAAAGCAAATGAAAGCCAGGATCTTATCATCCTTCGCTTGAAGATTTAATTATACATGGTTACCGGTCTCCCTTCAACTCTCATGTTTTCAGATTCTATTGGATGAAGAATAAATGAAATAAAAAATATGGAAGGGGGAACTTATTTGAATCACATGACTTCCTTTCGGTCAGACTTGTTGTGCTTTTGCAAAGAAATTTGTGACACGCACCCAGCTATTAAAAGCGTGAACTCCCTCCACTTTAGCAAGAGCCCAAGATATGCTGAGATTGAAGATCTTAGTCCTGTAGAGCTCTGCCTGGTACTGCCCGAGGTGGCAATAGAAAAAAGGTCGGGGGACTTTTCTTCTCCGCATGAGCAGGTTAGAATGGCGTTTTCGTGCTGAAAGCGTCGGTGGTAGTCTGCAAAATCGCCATGTCCAGACCGTGCAGCTAATAGAAATCTTAGTTTGTGTCGCCCTAGACGGGCGAGCTCGGCAGTAATCCTAGTATTAGGACCAATTCCTAATTCTTTATACCTAGATGGAGAATTTTCTGCCCAGTAAAGTGCAACGGAAGCCTCGTACTGGGCTTTGACTTCCCTTCTTGCCCTCGCAATAGAGAATACCGAGTGTAGAGCTGGAGCCGCACAAGCGGATTTGGCAAGCGTGTCGGCTGCTTCGTTTCCCAGAATACCCGCGTGGCCCGGGCACCATCGGATGGCCACTTCCCCAGGCATTGTGTTTTGGCCACGTGACCTTATTTTCCAGTTTGCTGCAAGCTTGCGAAAGAGGAAGATTTTCGCTGAGCTAGACGCTGTGGGAACATCAAAGAGAAGACGGAGGGCGGCCTTCTGGTTGTCAAAGCAAACGGTGACGTTAGAGGCATAGAAAGCCAGTGGGTTGAGGAGTGCTGCAGTAAGGCCTTCCGTGGCCCCGGCAATTTCAGCATCATAGACCTCTGCCGAGTTTCCTAGAGGGAGTGATCCTCGCCTAATCTCCTGCGTGAGACCTCGATAGATGACGTACTCTGCACCTGCTCGGTCTGCTATGAGAACTCCATCTGAAAATTCGAATAAGTCTAGAATGGGTCGAGTAGCCTGCCACTGTTTGAAGGAATTTGATCCCGAGAGTCTACTTACTGCCCCAATTTCGATTAGCTTTTTCTCGCGGGGTGCTGAATATGGTGAGGGGATGGTATCTTCGGAAAGTTCTAGTGAAATCCTCTGGCGGATCCAGCGCATGCAGCTAGTGTTCCAACGCCTACGAAGAGGGTGATAGGGGTCAGCTGCAGCAATTCGAACCGCTAGACGGCTGTGAATCCGGGTGAGTCACATCTGAGCTGGACCCCAGCCAGCTTCAAGTAGAAGTGCTGCTATAAGTGTTGTACGGTAGACTGGGAGAGCTGCCCGTGCCGCGTCGTTCATCCTATGTCGAGCTTACAAGATGATTATTTGGGAAGTCTGTTTAGAGTACCAGGTATCGGCCCAGTAGAAAAGGGTCGCAAAGGCAGCACCTTGTAGAGCTTGTTTTAGAAAAAGAGGGCTTATTCCTCGAGTCGTCGTGGAGAGTCTTTTCATATGGCTGGTGATAGCTAGTGGCTTTCTATTGTGGTTATGAGCTAAGGTTAGTTTCACTATGCATACTGACCTTGTACGAGTATGTAGATCGATGAGTTCAGGTTGTGGTTGAAGGTGTATCTGAGGTTCACTGTACTTAATTGTTCTATGCTAATCGTGGGCTGAGCACTCGCTACTTATACTCATGTGCGGCTGCTAGTCGGCTCCTGACCACATGAGCTTCCTCCTGCAGATATCCCAAACAATGCAGGAACTACACAAACAGCGTATACATCTAATCACGTTATGTACATGCAAGTGTCCTAACTGTATAACATGCCCATCACAACACTTTCGGCAAGCCTGTATGGTATGATATTGGAACCGAAGAGCACGGTCGAAAAAGATTCCAAGCCAGTGAGTACGATCGTTGGGCGTTTTAGTTGTGTCATGAATGCGCTTTTCACATTAATAGTAAATCGTCATCCACTTAGTGTAGCATGCAGAGCCAGGGAAATGGAAACAGGTTAGTGATAAATTAGATACAACCGATCGCTACACTCACCCGTAGATCACTCCTAAAAGAGACTAGCTATGGCGCTATCTGGAAGTATGTGGGATTGGTTAATTATTATGTAAAAAACCTGCAACATAAAATAACATAATAATACAATAAGATACCATTCGCATCCCGTAACATTTATCACCATAATCACCCAAGTATATTCTAAAACCCCTGAGTAGTCACAACCATTTAATTGAAGATACGAAGTGTATACAACCATATACATCACCACATTTCAATTAGTTGTCCCTCCAATACTAAGAGTAGGCTCAAGTTATCACAGTTCGAACGTAGAAAGCAAATGGGCATTTGTACGATTGAAAGGTAAAGCTATAATTCATCTACGTAGAAGCGAACTGCCTGCAAGTCTACTCTACTACTTACACACATCTAGAGGTATCTAAATCTAGCCTACGTCTACCGTGGCAATGGAACTGACTTAAGGTTTGTTCTGCGACACGGGTAACGCTTTCAATACTCTTGGCACTATCCTTTACGTAGCTTCGGTGGCAATCTCGTATCAGTTTTCATCTGTTGATAATCCTCGGAGTGACAGAGAATGTAGGTAGCCTTCGATAGTGTAACGGCTGCTAAGCCAAAGAATTCCTGTAGCCTACGCTGGCTAGCGCCGGCAATGACATCAAGGGAATCTTGGGGGATCTTCGGGAAGGATATCGGGATACACGGAGGTTAGAAGATTCTTAATGAACCTTCTGGAAGTATACTGAAGGTTCATGAGGATGACAGACATATCGAGAGTCTTCTAGGGAATCTTTGAAGATTCCATATTATTCTAGTCTTAGGGGAACCTTATAGCAGAGGAGTATCTCGGAGTGTATATATATTTGTAGTCTAGCTCTAGGAATTCTCTCTCTAGAGAATTATAATTAATATACTGTACCTACAAGATCGCCCAAGCATGTTGTACTGAAACCGTAACAGATAGCCGTCGAAGGCTACAGGACTTATCGGCGCACAAGGCGTCACAGTAGTGGTGAGCCTCGCTTCCAGTGAAAGTACCGCAGCTCAGTCTTAGGAAGTTCGAAACTAATTCCGTTAGTCAGTCCCCATACTATAGTGCTATCTAGTTTTCAAGAGTACAAGAGGAGTTCGCATTCCGAAGGTCCAGTAGTTCGATGGTTCAAGAGTTCAACATAAGATTCCATAATGTCTAAATGTGACGGCTTGTAAGCTGGTAATTGCCTGTAGCCTGCGCTGTCAAACGCAGGCTTAGCATGAAACTTGGCAAACACCTCTAAGACTAGGGCACGAGATGGGATACGAGAAGGGATACGAGATGGGATACGGATATACAGATAGAAGACTGTGTCAATGGCCTGGATAATAATCATGTATAAAGTAACTGTTATTATCCTCTTCAATCTGTAGTTCACCATAGATTGAAAATAAACTACCTCTGACCATAAGGTTGCTCAAGTGCCTATGCTTAGACTTTGACACTAAAGAGTTCCTAAGAATACAAGACTATAATCTGCCAAACCCAAGTCCTCCCAATTACCCATCATATATTCCTCCCTATTCCTCTCTACTGTTCTCGATCTTTCCAGTATCCTCTCATATAGAATAGAATGGAGTAGAATAGATGTTATGTGTCACAGATCAACTATAGAAAGCAAGGAGCATTTGTATGGATGATGGTATTGTTTTACTTGGTATATGAAATGGGGAACGTACGCTTGCGGTGACGGCTAAGATAGATTGGATTGCAGAAGATGAGATTGATCAGATGATGTGTGAAAATGTATATAGAATATGTGTCTATCTACATAGGAAAGATTAATGCTTTTATGTGTGGCCAAGTCGCTTACTAGCCAATCACTTGGACCACTCTGTTCATCCATGCTATTTCCCACTCCGAGGCAAATGCGCCAAACACATCATGTGAGTTGTCTTCCCCGCAGGAAGAACTCCATGATGTACCCTCTTCACGAGCACCACGTGCCTTATCTACTTTAGCTAAGCACAACAGGTATTTTATAATTCTACTATGAATACTTAAGTTCTACATACTAATCCAGGTACATATACATATTTATTACATTCTAAGTTATTCCCTCCATGGTCAGCTCATTTCTAGATGATTCCAGTTGCTACTCAAAGGGTATCATTTCTAGCAGCTTCTCCGAGGTTCAGTATCAGTCTTACTCACATGGAGACTTTTCTAGTCCCTTCTTAGGAGATTCTAGTATCTGTTACGTGGCTTTTGCGCCTGCCCGTTCTCCGGTGGTTGTACGCCAGTACTTGCCAGTACTGGCTACAGGAAATATCGGCTTTGTAGCTGTTACATTATGGTTATGAGGTTATGTACGACATCTTGGAGTCTGAAGCTTAATAGTCTACGGATTTGAGGGTAGAGCAAGGTGTGGAGAT